GGAGAACACATTATCTTTTATTGATAAAATTTTTTTATAAACTTTTTTAAATTTTTTGTTTATAAATCACCTGTAGGCTCTGGAGGTGGAGCATCATAAATTTTGTCTTCTTCCTAAACAGTGTCGTGCGCCTTCGATATGGATGATCAGGGGGTAGAAACCGTCGATGGCAATCAAACCATGAAGTTTTTTGACCGTGTCGTAATTAGAATGCATCAGTGTTATCTTGACAATACGGATATGCTAATCTTCTGTGAGTATACCATCCAGAAAGCATACCATATGCCGGAAAATCACTTATCGTCCACATAAGAACCGCTCGCATTACAAATTTTTGTTTTAGAGAAACATCATACGCTTCAATGCCATATTTCAAAAACAGCTTCAACTCATAAATTAGTGGCTGTAAGAAAATATCAAGAGATCTCTTGGGGTGCTCTGGTCCAGGAACGAGTATTGTAAGGAACAAAAACTCTCGTTTCATGTACAAACTAGGTGGCAAATTATAAGGTGTGACCATTACTGGCCATAAAGAAAATTGCCGCCCATGCTTGCCAAAAGGGTTGAATCCATCCGTAGATAACCCAAAGTAGACATTCCTTGGCTCAGACGCAAAACTAGGATAGAGCTCTTGAAAATGTTTCCACGCTTCTGCATCTAAAGGATGTGCAATCTCTCCATCTGAGTTGTGTTGTGCATGCCATCTCATAGGAGCTGTTGTTCGCTCTGATTTATATAACCTTTTCAGTCTCTCTTTTATTGGCAAATACCACATCCTTTTATGTGGAACAGGTACTCTGCTACTTGTTTCCTGATATCACGGTTTATGATAAAATTTTGCACTTTAAACGATGCTCGCTGTTCCTCCAGAATATCATACAATTGTCGGTGCAGATATCTATCATTTCATACGGTAATCCAAGGCCACTTACAAGTTTCTGAATCTCATAATATGAAGCCGGTGAGATATTATCTTCAGGTAAAATATCTTTAACAAAATCAGCTATTGCATCCACACAATCTTCAGCCGGATTAAAATCCGTCTTGATAGTCATCAACCTGCTTGCAGAGTATAAAGGCGATATACCCTCTCTACATCCTCCATATAAAGGTTGTTTAGCTGCATCTAGCATATCAAAAAACTTCTGGGCTTCTAAATTAGGTTCTTTTGTTCTATTACCATCCTGAATATACGATGTTACGTTTTCCTGAAATTCGTCATTCACCATCTGAACAGTACTATCGACGTTTACATCATTCACCACCTCAATTTCTGGAGTTGGTTCTTCTATCACACCAGAAGCACTGTTATAATAATTTACCATTGATTCAGTTTCTCCGTGCATATATCAAATCTTGTATCCTGGCATAAATTCATTTCTATACAAGTGATTCCATAGTCCTCTAACAGAGTTTACTCTGTTATTACGACATGTAAGACAAAGACAACAGAATTTACTATTTTCAGAGTTCTCACTATTCTTGGTCGCAAGGGTTATAAATTCTTCAACACCGCTCGCATACTCATCGGTTAGTTTTCCCGATGTTGGATCAAGACGGGGTTTATCCATCCATGATCAAAAATAATTATATGGGTTTGGGTTTGAAGAAGACATGTTCTTTCACCCTTGATTTGTATGTTGTGAATGAGAATGAGGAGATATTTGTAGAAAAAGCTGGCTTCATTTCCGAGCGTATTCCGACCGATTTCGACGACACTTTGAAACGGGTAGAAACGGCTAGTTCAACGGATACAACAACGGTTATATCTAATAATTCCATTGGAAATCCATCGGGAAAGTTTCCGACGAATTTCCGACGGAATTGTTTTCTTTTTGAATTTCCAACTTTTTTTTGACATCCGTCGGAAATCCATCGAAAAATTTCTGACAAATTTCCGACAAAACCTTTAAAAAGCGACCATTTCAATTATCCGTCGGAAATCAGTTGGAAATTTTGACCGATTTCCGTCCAACTTGTTCTCATTGGTATTTTTCAGTATTTCATCGAGATTCCGTCGGTATTTCCCGGCGGAATATATTCCTTCGGAAATTCCGTCAGGAATCGTAGTGTTTTCTTGTAGTGCCACCTTAATGCAAGTAGATCCGCCACTGATGAGAATTTAAATGTAGCGGAGTGAAGTTATATTTATAAGTGGAAAACTAACCTAGGGTTTTATTTTCTTTTACTAAACCATAATTAATTTGACCGATCTCTAAAGCTAATTATTGGTCGTTTAATACATTATGGTTTACCAAGTTTTATTTTGCTGGCCCATGACCCAATTTTGTAGAAAAATCTATGTTATCGGTGTAGACACATAGAATTAATGATAAAACGATTAAAAACAACATGTAATTTTTTTTAATGCCACATAGTACTTTCGTTGTGGAGACAATAATAGTATAATATCATTTACTATTTGCGTTTAGGGCATTTCCAAAAGCAACCTTAAATCTTCAAATATGAGGTTTTGTTCACTCCAAAAGCAACCTTAAAACCTCAAATTTTGAGGTTTTGAGCTAGTGAAACCTTATATCTGAGGATTCACTGTTCAAAACCTCAAATTTGAAGTTTGCAGTTTTTTATTTGCATTTTAGTCCTTTCAATTATATATTTTATAAATAATCACTTTATTTTTTATGTTTATCATTTTAATCCAATATATGTCATAAATATTTTACATTTATCTTTATAAATTTTATGTTTGCATATAAAATTACATTAAAAAACTGAAATTAAAAATATCATTAGAAAAGAAATATTACATAACATAAAACCCAAATTTTACACAACAACAATATTACATTTAGAAAATTTAATACAAAATAAAGTAACAAAAATATAAATAAAACAGCATAAAAACTTCAATATTACCCAAATAAAAATAGTACAACATACTAATATTCCGCTAAGTTTGATCCCAAACCTCCAATATCTTCAAAATATTGTCCAAAATTTGGTGCAACCGGAGGTGGTGGTTGTTCTTGAGTTCTTTTTTGTATGATTCTTACTTGTTCAAACCGAATAAACTCACGGGTATTATTATCAACGATAGAGTCTAAATTTGTTAACAATATTTTATTTTCCCCATACATTTCTTTTAGGGCTAATTATTTTGCTTGATTTTGCATACGTAATTGAGCACTCTCAACACTTTTGCCCATACTTGATGCATTTTCTTTTAAGAAAACAAAGAGTTGATCGTTTGATGAAATCAAAGTATCAATAGATGAGTTATTACCTTTGGTAATCTTCCTTTTGAGTTTTGCTTTCTTTGATCCTATCGGACGTTGTGATGAATTTGACCCACCGTCATCGCTACTTAAATTGATCGAAAAAGAAGACACACCAGGAGATTGTGATGTCGGAGAGCCAACAATATCGCTTTCAAGATTTTGAGTATTTGGAATACCGACGGTGACATTGTCGGTAAACTTTGGGATATCCTTCATCAAAGTCCACACATGGTCAAATTTAAAACTTTTTTTCAGCTTTAGATCTTGAATCAACAATGTTTTGGCTTTTTCCATCTGTAGAGTGTTTGAAACATAATTTTATTAAAATATATAAACAAATACCATATAAAAAATGGAGTAAAAAAAAAAATATACTTACAATGTCATATTCAGATGCACCACTTGGATGCATGTTCTTCACTTGGGTGATGCAGCTCTTCAAATTCCTGACTGCATAAATAATAGTATTCATTTTACCTTGAAGAGATCTATTACTTCTAATTTCCCAACCCATATTTTTTTTTCATTGTAACTATTTTGTATTTTTACCCATAATTTCTCCAAAGACTGGTTATTGCTAGAAATTGGTCTTGTGATATTTCTAGATAGACACGACATAATAACTCATCTTCATGTTGATTGAATGATGAACCTCTACTTTTATCCATATTTTTTAAGAGAAGAAAGAGTTAGTGGAGTTGTGATTTTTCATTGGTTCAAATGTTTTATTTATACAAAATGATGGATGGATAAGATTTCAAATGAATGGCCACAAATCAATTTTGTAGATATTTTACAAGGATGGATATGATTTTAATCTAAGGGTTGATAATGAGTGATATCCAATGAAAGGTGTAGATTAGTTTATAAGGATATTCTTATCTCATTTTGTGAATAAGGTGGATAGAATTTTAATCTAATGGTTGATAATGAATGAGATTCAATGAATGGTATAGATTAATTCTCAAGATTTTCTTATCTTATATGGTGGACAAAGTGGATATGTTGGATATAAAGGATATGATTTTAATCTCACGGTTGTTGATAAATGAAATCTAATGAATGGTGTAGATTAATTTGTCAAGATTTTCTTATCTTCTTAAATAATAAAAAAAAATTATCTATAAAAACACACACATAGATGTTAGAAATACATCACAATATCACAACTTAATTCACTTTAAAAAATTAGTAGAAATGAATTATAATTTTGGAGATCCAACATCTTTCAATAATTCGCCTTCCTTTTCAAGCTCATTCGTGCATTATAATGCATAACATGATAATTGAAGATGAACGTGACATCAAAGCACCAATTAGAGATGTAAGGCCAACTCCAGAGACAACAGTTGAAATGGCAATAAATGATAATACCGATTTCAACAGAGCTTGTTTATCACTACGAAATGCATTGATTGATCATATTTGGGAATATTATGAAAATAGTTTTATTGAATAATTTGATGTAATGTAATAATTTATTATTTAGTTTGTGTATTTTATTATTATGTTTATATAATTTTATCTTATAATATAATATTTATTTTATTATAAAGCTAATTATATTATTTTAGTTAATGATATTTTTAATATATGTGTTTTGTTATTTATAAAGTTATATATTAATAATGATTAAAATTAAATACTATACTGTAATATTTTAAAAATTGTGGTAATAGATTTGAGGTTTTGCTTGGAACAAACACCATCAAATCTTATATTTATTTATATTTGAGGTTTGCCCTTACAGTTTCCAAGCCAAACTGATTAATTACACCCAAACTTAAAAGATTCTCCACAAAAGATACAACAAGACTCCACTCAAGAACTGAAGAAGACGAAGAAATCGTAGAAGAGAAAAATCCACTACAATCTTCAAGACCCATGTCTCTAATCACTCATTTCTTCTTCTTCTTCTTCGTCTTCTCAATCGTCTCTTTATTCAAAATTTCAAATTCCACACCCTTAAAACCACACCCACTTCCAATTTTACCCCTCCCTTCATCACAACAGCTCCAATGGCAGCTCGGATCCATGGCCATGTTCCTCCATTTCGGACCCAACACTTTCACCGACTCAGAATGGGGCTCCGGAAAAGCCGACCCGTCCGTTTTCAACCCGACCCATCTCAACGCGACCCAATGGGTCCAAATCGCTAAAGACTCAGGCTTCTCTCGCGTCATCCTCACAGCAAAGCACCACGACGGTTTCTGCCTCTGGCCCAGCGAATACACCGATTACTCCGTCAAATCGAGTCCCTGGAGAGCCGGAACCGGCGACGTCGTGGCCGAACTAGCTTCCGCGGCGGCGGCCGCCGGTATCGGACTCGGTCTCTACCTTTCTCCGTGGGATCGGCACGAGGGATCTTACGGGGAGACATTGGGGTATAACGAGTATTATCTGAGTCAAATGACCGAGTTACTTACCAAGTAAGCTCCTTTTCTCATGGGTTTTTGATTCTGATTCCGATTCCAGTTCCCAAATTGTGAAAGATGGGATCTTTCGTTATGGGTTTTCGATTCCGATTCCATTTCCATTTCCCAAATTTTTCAACATTGGATCTTTCGTTTTAGGTATGGAGAGATCAAAGAAGTTTGGTTAGATGGAGCAAAAGGAAAAGGAGAAAAATACATGGAATATTTCTTCGATACTTGGTTTAGTTTGATCCACCAGCTTCAGCCCGGCGCCGTCATCTTCTCCGACGCCGGTCCAGATGTCCGGTATATCGGTAACGAAAATGGAGTCGCCGGTTCAACTTGCTGGTCTCTCTTTAACCGAACCAATGCCAAAATCGGAGGCACTGACCCTCTGTTAGTAACACACTCTCTCAAAATGTTCAAAACCTTTTATAGATCTCAAGATGCTGAATTTGTTTGATCTTGCAGGTATTCTCTTGAAGGTGATGGCTTTGGGCAAGATTGGGTACCTGCGGAATGCGATATATCGATCAGACCGGGTTGGTTTTGGCACGCGTTGGAGTCACCCAAACCGGCGGTTCAGCTCCTGGATATATACTATAACACGGTGGGAAGAAACTGTCTCTTCTTGCTCAATGTACCTCCTAACTCTTCAGGACTGATATCTGAACAAGACATCAAGGTACTTGAGGAGTTCCGTGAGATTAAAACATCGGTTTTCTCGAACAATCTCGCTCGCAAAGCCGCGGTTAACTCCAGCAGCGTCCGTGGCGGCCAGAGCTCAAAGTTTGGTCCTAAGAACGTTTTGGAAGAAGGGTTAGATAAGTATTGGGCTCCAGAGGAGAAGCAGAAGGAATGGGAGTTGTATTTTGAGTTTCAAGACTCGGTTAGTTTCAATGTGTTGGAAGTTCAAGAACCGATCCAAATGGGTCAGAGAGTTGCGTCTTTTCATCTCGAGACGAGGAACATTGGAAGTGGAAAGTGGACGAGAGTCGTGAATGGCACGACGGTTGGGTTGAAGAGGCTTTTACGGTTTCCGAGAGTCGAGTCTCGGTCTCTGAAGCTCGTAGTGGACAAAGCCAGGACCGATCCGCTTATATCGTACGTTGGAATCTACATGGATAAGTTTTCGGTTTCGAGTAGAAACTCATCAAAGATAACAATCACAAGGACACTTCAGGAGGAGCAACAACTCATCTCTGAGAGACTCACCACATAAAGTGTTGGGTTTTCTTGTATTGTGCGTTGCACATCAATCAATCAAAGTTATGTATTTGACACTATCCTTGTGAATTCTAAAGCAAATAAAATGATTAGTTTTGATTCAGCTATCAATTTAAGACCATTAGTTTCTTGTATTTATCATTTGCCTTCTCCTCCGTAAACGAATCATCACAAATTTGAATCAGTCAAATTTGAGAATAGCTTCTTGAATTAGCTTCGTCTCCTTTCTCTCTTTCTTCTTCTTCTTCTGATCTTCCTCATTTCTACTTCTTCTTCTTCCACTTTCTCCATTTTCCAGTTTTAAAGGCTCTTAACTTTTTTTGACAAAAAAGGCTCTTAACTTTCTCTCTTTTTCATTTCTTTGTCATAAGTTTGGGGATTTGGGTCATATCTTTTGTGAATAGGCTCGATTATATTTCAGATATATTTAATGGAAAGGAGGAAACTTTGAAAATTCGACAAAAAGCCCTAAAAGAAAATGGAAGCCGCCGATCAAACGGTTCTTTGCCAGTTGCTTGCCGTCGACCTCACAGATTATTGCTACAGAGTATGTTCTCGCTGCGAGAGAGTTCTTCCCGTAGATAACAACAATGGTGTTACATCGTCAGTTTGCAAATTCTGCAAATCCAAAGTACCCAAACTTCTTTATCGGATTCTCGTACAAACCCCGAACCCTTGATCTTCTTCTTCTTTCTGAATTTTCGTTTTCTGTTGGAATTATAGATAGTTATCAGTTTTGTCACTTTTAGGGATTTGCCCCAATGTGTAGTGTCCTAAGGAGTCTATCAATTGTCAAAGAACTAAGTTTTTGGTGTATCTATTAATCAAAAATTGAAACTTCAAAGAATCAAAGTCTTTTTTCCTCCACATTTCATAATCTGTGTCTGTTAATGTCTATAGTAACTGATAAATCAATTAACACTCTGATCTGCTTTGAATCTGTGAGCTTGTGGAATTGAGAAACTGAAACATCAAAGTTTGTGTTTTTTTGTTTTGTTCATACACTGTTCTGAATATGTGTCTGTTAATCTGGCAGATGTCTATAGCAACAGATACATCAGTTAAAACTGTGATATGTTTTGACAGAGCTGCGACTGTTCTCTTCGGTTGCTCAGCCGATGAGTTCTTCCACTTCACTAAGCTCAATCCTACAACCGGTAAAAGAAAAATCATCAATCAACTTTTAGTAAAACCTTTAAGAGTTTTTTTGAGATGATTTCACTTTGAATGTTTGTTGGTGTGTACACGATTTGCAGCATCAATGGTTAATCAGGTGTTTGATGGAGAAATGCTTAGGATGACATTGACTCGGCCACACAACTTAAACGCGCAACACATGAGAGTGGCTTCAGTTGTTCCTCTAAGATCAGGATTTCAACCAGCAATAGTTACACTGAGACGGCTTTGCACAAGTAATGCTTCTTTGGGGAATTGTTCCACCAAGAAATGAGAGTTTCTAATGTTGGATTAGCTACACATATAAATGCTATAATCGCAAGTTGTTTGTATCTTTCTATTTGTTGTTTGTTTAACACTTGATTGTCTCGGTGAATACTCTAATTCGTTGTTAAGTTGTCCCTCTGCTCTAAAGTTTACATTGAAAATTAAATATATCAAGAAACAGTTTTTTTTTTTTCTTAAAACAACATGGAGTATCATATCCGATCTTAACTCAGTTGACAGAGGACTGTAATAGGTCATTAGTTGGAATCCGGTAAATTAGACTTTTTTGTTTAATAGACACATTTTTTTAAAAAAAAAAAGCATAAAGGATATACATTGTTTTGGATTTAAGGTTTAGTTTTAGATTTTTTATTTTTAATAAAAAACATATACGTTGTTTCAATAGTGTTTATTTCATGTTTGTCCAAGTTTTCTTCTAGTCTTTGTAAACAACGATTGTGAATTGGAATTTCAATGAAATCTTTAGCAGAAAAAAGAAATGGTTAGAGTGAACGATTTGGGTTCAGCGTTTTGTTTAAGAATTACAAACTTAAAATGTAGAGTTTAAAATTGTGACTATTTTGTTAGTCTCTAGAATTATATAATCTTTTTCTTTATTAATTTGGGTGTGAAATGTAAAAAAAAATATAAAGATTTTTAAAAAATTTCAATAATATACACCTGTCAAAAATATAGTGAACTGCATTACATGAAAGCGTTTGACCTTCTAGTAGACCTACTCAACTTCTTTGATAAAGCCTCCAAAACTTGCCACGTGGCATCTCCCTCCCTCGGAGGAACATTAAACATAAGGGCTCGCCTAATAGATGGATCCTCCAGGTTTTTCTGTATAATAGATAAATTAGTAGCCGCCACGTGTTCCAAAATCTCCCCCAACTTTCCAACATCTTTCTCCGCCACCGTGAGAGATATTTCCGGCCACCGCATGGCAGAAGGGAACGGCAAACGGATCCCGTCGGCAATTATAACGGGCACACAGCCAAGAGCAACCGATTCAACAAGTCTCGGGCTCCATGGGGCCCACCCGAGAGGACACAAACAGAAAACAGAACGAGCGATTTCTGACTGGTAACCGGCAAATCTTTGTCGCTGGAGATAAAACCGCCGGTCACCACCATAACTCCTCCATATTTTCGTCCTTATTCGCCTGAAAACAAAAGGTAATAAGACGAAGTTAATTAACTAATTTTTAGGTACAGAGTCATTATGAGCTATGCCCCAACCATATTAATTAACTAATAGCTTTCTGTATTTGTATAGTACTATTGCTATGTCATTATCTAGATACTAATGTGTATTACGCGTCCAATCCAAAATATTTGACTTTTTAGCCAAAGATGAAAAAAAAAAAATTACTTCTTGAACCTAGGATAAACGAAAAAAATCGAGTTATTATCCGAGTCACCCTTATAAGTTTTCAAAATTACTATAAACAAATTCTTGAACCTAGGATAAACGAAAAAAATCGAGTTATTATCCGAGTCACCCTTATAAGTTTTCAAAATTACTATAAACAAATTCTTGAAATCATCCAAAATTTTTAAAAATAAGACGCCGCCATATTAGTGATAATTAATTAGCCAAATTATTTGTACTCTGTCCACTACTTACGTTATCCGACCCGTTTTTTAAAAGCTGCATTTCGGGTAATTAGTTACCTTAAATACCGTTTTTCTTTTTTTTTTACAATTACCCAAAATTTTACTCGAAATGAACATGTCAAATATGGATGAATTTGACCCAAAATGAAGAGAGAGAGAAACAAAAAAGAATGTTTACTTGCTATAAAAACGGCCACTGATGTTTTTGGGATGAATCTCCATCTTGCCTCGGAAAAAAACCCAAATGTCTCGTTCCTTAGCTACCGGAATATTCTTTTGAGTCTTGTGCAAACTTTCCGGCGAGATGTACGGTGGTATCACAATGTTCTCTACCTCTTGGCATGGATGCTTAAAAGTAACACCAAAAGTTTGCAAAACTATAGAATTTCTCAAAATCTTTGGTACCCCATCAGCAATTGCTCTATCCTCCTTCAAAACACAAATAACAAAAAAATCAAAAACAAAATTCATTTACAATTTAAACAAATATCTAAAATTGGCAACAAAAAAAAAACCAAAGAAATAAAAAAATATTATTTTTATTACTAACCATGGTGTGGAAGCAAGAGCCAAAGTCGTGTGTGGCGATGAAGACGTGGTCAGAGCCACTAGTTCGATTCCAAAACGGGTATTGAGTCGAGACGAGCCCGATCGCTTCTTTGATGAGCGATCTCGCGTGACCTATCGCTGGAAAGCCATTGATGGTGCTGAAATTGCATGAGACATAGACCGGGACGAAGAAGAAATCAGCTTCGTACGGATCTTCCGTCCTTACGTCCCCGTCAAGGCTGAGCAACGCCTTGTGAAGAGCCACTTCCGCGGCGAAGAGGTGGTTGCTACATCTGTCGTTGGCTAACCAATCTGTGTTGAACTTGGAAGGCAAGTCATAGACGTAGATTTTCAAATTGTTGAATACATCTGAAAAAAATATATTAAAACAACGGTTATAAAAAATGAAACTTTTAGTCCCTTTGGAAACATCCAATAAAATTGAAACGATATAGACAATATTAGTTTGGCCACTGCACAAAGATGACACACAAACGGAAATTTTTATTTCTAGAAAAGAACATTAAGCCCTTTAAAACCATGACCTAAAATGATCATGTACGTATGTATACCAGTTCTGATGTTGGGACGTTGAGGGGCAAACCCAAGGGTGTTATCATGGATTTTTGATTCAAACACGGCACGAGAAGCGAGAAGCTTTGGTTTAGGGTTAGTTAGAAGAGGGTTTGATCGGGAAGAAGAAGATAAAGGATGGTCTTCTTGGTCATGATCGACAAAGAAGGAAGCAAGAAAATAGAGAGTGAGTGAAAAGCAGAGGATCCATTTGTAGTAGTTTTTTAAGCAGAGACTTTTCTCTGCTCTTCTCTGTTTCTGTGTTATCATCGTTCTTGATTTGCCGGGATAAATCTTACGGCCTCTTCTTGTTTGATTCGAATCATCTGATTGTTGGAATTAGTTAATAGGATTTTTAAGTTGGTAAAGAGGGGTTTTCGGATTTGGGTTTGAGAGATAAAGTAGAGATTAAGGAATGGTGAAAGGTGGAGCAATAGAAGTTGGAGAAAGTTTGATGAAGACTATACTATCCAATTAATCTTTTTTTTTTGTTCCGACTCTTGAGAGATATAAAACATTCAAATTTTTTTAATGATTTCTTGGTTTCTCATTTTTTTATTCTTTTTCTTTTTGTTTTCAATTTTTTCTTTGTAAGCGAAATGGATCTTTTATTAATAAATTCCTATACCAAAAATGTTACAGACTTACAAGGTTATCGAATTAATAGGAAATTATTAGAGTTATGGATATAATATTTACAACTACAAGTCGTACTTCAGATCAAAAACTGTAAATAGAGAATGGGCAGAAAATGACTAGCAACATTGAAAAGACTTCCCTAAGCTTTCGAATTCATTAGCAGTAGATTGATTTAAGTACTGCAATTTTTTGGTTGGTATTGTATACATTAAATACTAAAAATTATCCTTCATCAGATTATGTTATGATAGTATTTGCGTACACGGCAAGGGATAATGGACCCAATTCTAATAGATAACCAACGGGAACCAGGTAGCCACCAAACTATATATATTTCATTAAACTAAATTTAGTGAAACCACTTTCACAGATAAGATATTATATTTCATGTAGAAAATTGTTTACTTTTAGCATTCAACATATTTACATATTTAATCCTAGTTAAAGCAAACACATTTTCCATCTTTCTCAAAACAAAAACACATTTTTCATTCCACGTTTATATGTTGGTGTTCGAAGACCACCTTCTTTAAATTCAATGATTATTGAATTTATAAGATCTAAGATATATTTAGCGCTTTGCTCTAGAATACATAATATTAAATTGGGTTATAAACTTATGATTTTTTGTAAAAGAAATGAAATATCACTTATATATATATATATATATATATATAAAAATCATTCAACCAACGAACATATTAAGAAATTATTAGCTTGTATGAAAATTGTTATGCGAATGTTTTAGATTCGCAATACTTATTAAGTTGTTAGTCAAAACATGTAACTGTTAAAAATGTTTGCTAGCTAATTTGAATAAAACGTATATAATACAGAATAGTTTACAGAAAATAAAGAAACATAAATATATATATATATACATATGTATGTAATAATTTTATAAGATTCTTATTATTATCGGAATACATCCTTACGACCTATCTGAAGATATGATATAAGGGATTTGAAAGAAAAAATTGTATACACTTAGAAAATGTGACATGACTATTTTGATATGTGTGTGTGCTTGTATAATCAAATTAGGTACACTCACGTACGTACTAACGTAAAAATCAGCATACACTTGGTAGTCTTGGAACATCGGTGATCGGTGTAATTAATGGGATATCCGATATCAAATCATATCTCATAAGTTTAGCAATCAACGTATTCTGTTCTCTTAACATTAGCAGAATATATTATTGTCATTGTAATAGTTTAGGCAAGTCTGATTCTCTTGTGGTAGTATATATTCGTGTACTTGTCTTTGTGAATAATATAGTGAAAAGCATTTCCAATACACGACTCTGTAATTCTTCATGGTATCAGAGCCTGAACAATTTTGATTTCCTATTTCTTTGATAATCTTCTTTTGAAACACAAACACGATGATCATGATTTCACACGTGACTTCAAAACCGACGAACACGAACACAATAGCAACGACGATGGATGACTCAATGAATCTGAACCTGAATGCGACCCTGATTGATGGAACGAATCTGACTCCGAAAACTGTGAATCCAATATCAACGATGACAGAGGTGAGAAGAATAAATTCTTCTGATGATCTGACAACAACAGATCATTGCGGCGCACGGATATAAGATCGAAAATAAAAACAATTGGAGGAAGAAGATTTGGAGTTTATGCGAATACTGTTCATGTGCCCAGCATCATGAATCATGAACATGTTAATTATGTCATCACTAACAAAGATAGAGACGGTGTGAGCGGCTTAAGCGACACAATGGTGTACGATCCTCAACCTATTGAACGCTAAGAAGCCTACCGTCAACACCGAAATACACTCTTGTAAGCGCTCTATTCCTTCATGGATTATGGATACAGGTGCTACACATCATCTCACTGGGAGATATGACATTATATCTGATGTCAGAGATATTGCTCCTGTCTTAATCATTTTGGCTGATGGGCGCGAACGAATCTCGGTTAAAGAGGGCTCGGTTATATTGGGATCAAATCTGATATTGAAATCTGTCTTTTTTGTTGAAGAAATGAAGTCTGATCTGATATCTCTAGGACAGTTAATGGATGAAAATCACTGTGTGGTACAATTGGCTGATCGTTTTCTGGTTGTTCAAGACCGAGCTTCGAGGACGGTAATTGGAGTGGGTAAGCGAGAAGTGGGTGGAACCTTCGATTTTCATAGCACAGAAATGGTGAATTCTGTTGCTACGCAAAATGCGAAAGCTTATGAATTGTGGCATAATCGAATGGGTCACCCGTCTCCTGGAATTGTTGGTTTGCTCCCAGATGTTCACGTTTCGTCAGAAGTCTCCAAAATGGCGTGCGATGTATGTCTCCGAGCTAAACAAACAAGATCTTCTTTTCCATCAAGTCTCAATCAAACTACAAAAGCTTTTGAGTTAATCCATTCTGATTTATGGGGTCCGTATCGGACGACTTCACATTGTGGAGCACGTTATTTTTTAACGATTGTCGACGACATCTCTCGAAGTGTATGGATTCATCTTCTGCTTGACAAAACAGAAGCACCCAAATGTTTGAAAATTTTCATCTCCATGGTTGATAGGCAGTTTCAGACGAAGGTTATGAGTTTACGAAGTGACAACGGAGCCGAATTTACGAGCTTAACTGGTTATTTTTAACAACAAGGCATTATTCATGAGACTTCATGTGTGGGTACACCCCAATAAAATGGTAGAGCCGAACGGAAGCATCGGCATATTTTAAATGTTGCTCGAGCTTTAAAATTTCAAGCGAATTTGCCAATTGAATTTTGGGGAGAGTGTATTCTCACAGCTGGTTATTTGATCAACCGAACACCAAATTCTACAATTCAAGGATTAACTCCGTTTGAAAAGTTGTATCAGAAAGCGCCTGACTATGAACATTTGCGAGTGTTTGGGAGTTTGTGTTATGCACATAATCAAGCTCAAAAAGGAGATAAATTTGCATCAAGAAGTCGAAAGTGCGTTTTTGTTGGCTACCCCTATGGTAAAAAGGGTTGGAAATTATATGATCTGGAGAAGCGGGAGTTTTTCGTTTCTCGTGATGTGATTTTCTATGAAAATCAGTTCCCGTTTGTTAAGCTTGGCTCCGATGAATCGAAAAAGAGCGTTGGGGACGAAGAAGAATTATGGGCTCCAATTTCTTCTAATTTATTAGTTGAAGAAGAAGAGTTTGGACCTGCTAAAATTTCAGTAATTAATTCAGGCCCAGTACCAAGCCCAATAGTCACAACATCACAGGTTTGGCCCGAAAATTCATCTTCTTCTCGTGAAAATAACGTGACCTCGTCGACGTCTGAAATTTCTGTGACTTCACCCTCTGCTCCATCTCCTGCTCCGCCTGTTGACTTGGAGCAGCCTTCGTCATCAGATCCGATCGAAGCCCAGCCTGAACCAGAGCTTCTAGGACGTGGACAGCGACGTCGAACTGCTTCTGTTGTTCTCCGTGATTTTGTCGTGAACTCAGCACAGAGAAAACTTTTGACCAAACCTGAGGTATCCTCTTCATATCCGATATCAAATTATGTCAATTTCAGTCGATTTTCAGCAACACATCGAGCCTTCCAAGTTGCTGTTGCCATCAATGTGGAATCGAAATCTTTCAATCTTGCCGTAAAGTTGAAACAATGGAGGGAAGCCATGAGTAAAGAAATTACTGCTTTAGAAGAGAATGAAACATGGACACTAGAAGATTTACCTCCAGGAAAGCGGGCAATTGGCAGCAAATGGGTATATAAGATCAAGTATTACTCAGACAGGACAATTGAACGACATAAAGCACGTCTAGTTGCTCTAGGTAACAAACAAGTTGAGGGAGAGGATTATGGGGAAACTTTTGCTCTGGTAGCAAAGATGGGAACAGTTCGTATGTTTCTCAGAGTTGCTGCGGGAAACGACTGGCCTGTATATCAAATGGACGTGCATAACGCATTTCTCCATGGAGATCTGGAGGAAGAGCTCTACATGAAACCACCACCTGGGTTTTATTCAAAAGATGAAACAAAAGTATGCCGACTGAGGAAATCGATATACGGGTTAAAGCAGGCACCGCGTTGTTGGTTCGAGAAACTCACTAAGGCCTTACGTGATTATGGATTCCAACAGTCTCTTGCTGACTATTCTCTTTTCACGTTTGACAGAAACAGTGTTAACATCAACTTACTCATTTACGTTGATGATATGATACTCACTGGAAATTCTGAGCAAGCGTTGAAGGTATTCAAAGATTATCTTTCTTCTTGTTTTAAGATGAAAGATTTAGGAGCATTGAAATATTTTTTGGGGATTGAAGTGTCTCAGAACAAGTCTGGATTTTATCTAAGCCAAAGAAAATACGCTTTAGATATTATTTCAGAAACTGGGTTATTGGGAGCTAAACCAGCGACATTTCCATTAGAGCAGAATCACAAATTGGCGCTCTCAACCTCTGCAATTTTGACAGACCCAGTTCCCTATAGGCGTTTGATTGGTCGATTTATCTATTTGGCTGCAACTCGACCAGATTTTACTTTCTCTGTACACATCCTTGCTCAGTTTATGCAGAAACCTAGGGATGATCATTGGCAAGCTGCTTTGCGTATTGTACGATATTTTAAAGGGTCACCAGGTCAAGGAATTCTTTTGAGTTCAGAGAAAGATTTTCAGATTTCTGGATGGTGTGATTCTGACTGGTCAAGCTGTCCACTTACTCGTCGTTCAGTCACTGGTTACTTTGTTCAGCTTGGTCAGTCACCTATTTCCTGGAAGTCGAAGAAGCAGAATACGGTTAGCAAATCGTCGACTGAGGCTGAGTACCGAGCTTTATCATATCTCCGTGATGAA